CTTTGCGTATACAGTGAGTGCTTAATAAATGTGTTGACAAAGTTCTTTACGTGTCTACAATCTCAGTTGAGATTTAGCACAGGTCCAGGGGGATAAATCTTTGCATGGATTCATAGAGTATGTAACAGCCTGGCAACAAGAGAGAATTAGTTTGGCTATTGAACTGGCCCATGGCACCATGCCTGCCTGCACTCTGGAGGGGCTCTGCCCAAGAGAATCTCTGAGGCCTGGAGAAGGGCCAGATAAACACTGGACCAACTCTTTTAATGGAGTTTCACCCCAAACATCACATTTAGATGCAAATCCCGATTTTCTTGGTATTTTATTATGTACTTAACTTTTTTTTTAAACATGAACAGAGACAAAGGAAAATTAACCACAAGGCAATGCAGCCCGCTAATAATAATAGCTAGCATTTACACACTTTAAAGGTTAGCAAAGTGTATTACATTGTCTCATTTGTTTCTTGTAATGACCCTGTGAAGCAGAGGTTATTATTTTCCCCATTTTACAAATGAGGCCCCTGAGGCACAGAGAGATGAAGGGACGTGTCCAGGACCATCCAGCTCATAAGTGACTTTAGTGGGATTCAAACTCATGTTTTCCTGAATCCAAATCCAGTGTTCCTTTGATTAGGAATCAGAAGAATGGGGTAATAGTGATATTAGGCCAGATGGAGCTTTGTCTTTGTGACAAAAAATAAACAGATTGAATTGATGGACTCTAAGGTCCCTTTTTCAGAGCTATGGCCTTAAAGCCAGAAGGGGCCTCAGAGTCCTTCAACACCAAAACCCTCAGGCTGGGGCTGAGGCTACTGGGATGCAAAGAGGGAAAGTGATGTATCCAGGTCACACTGACAGTAAGTGGCAGAAGTGGGATTTGAACCCAGGACTCAGGATTGGCATTCTTTCCATTTCACTACATTGCTTTTAGTCTTAATAAGTTGTGATTTTATGAAATTAATAAAATTTTTGGTAATATGTACTGTGCTTTTTTTTTCCCCCCACCTTTCCCCTTGTACACAGAGGAGAGAGAAGAGTTCATGGATGACTATCACATTTCCCAAGAGTTCTAGACAACCAAATCTTCTTGGGGCAACCCCATTTGTTCAAACCCATCCTCTAGGAGGACCTAAGATGTGACTCCTGAAGAACTGATTCGTCTTGGTACACCTTTGCCCCACAAAAGAGGAGGAAGCATCATGGCCAGGGAATTGAGCTTGGAGTCAAGAGGACCTGGGTTCAAATCCCACCTGAGGTGTTGTGTGTCCTTGGGCACAAGTCTCTCATCTTTTCTGTGTCTGAATTTCTGTAACTGTAAAATGAAGGGCAATTGGACTCAAGGACATCTAAGTTCCTTTTCAGCTCTAGACCTATGACTTAGCATGGTGTTTTTACAGAAGAGGAAACAGAAACGCAGAGGGAGTAAGTGTTTTTTACCTTGGCCAAGACCCAGAGACTCATAAGATCTATCTCTGTGATCTCAGGTGAATTACCCACTCTCCTAGGTCTCAGTTTCATGATCTATGAAGGGAGAGTTGGCCTAGATGGTTTCCAAGATTGCATTCAGCTCTAAATCTGATGTGATAATGCAGTGTGATGTCTTAGTAGGATTCCTAGGGGAAGGCTTCTTCTCCCTATTACAGAAGAAGCCAATAGATATGTCCATTGGGTGGGATGCAGCACTCAGAAATGACAAATAAGATCAAATGTCATTTTTGGAGGTAGAGAGGGATGCATTTATTTTACCCATGGTCCTGAGGAATGAAGGCCATATTTAGAATACTGAAAGTTATTGCTACCATCCTCTTTCAAGCAAGGAAGAAAGTAGCTAGATAGAATCATAGATCAACTGCTGGATGCAGAGTCAGAAAGAACTGAGTCCACATTCTGTTCTGACTCTTCCTAACTGTATGACCCAAGGCAAGTCACTTAACTTCCCTGTGACTCAGTTTCCTCATCTGTAAAATGATGGAATTGGACTGTATGACCTCTAAGATATCTTCCAGCTCTAAATCTATAATCTTATGACCATAGGCAGAGAAATAGTCACTTTTATCAATTAAGAAAGAATTGAACCAGATTTAATAATGGTAATTTGTAATTTTTTTTTTTTACGGCTGATAAATTTTCCATGGAAAATAACTGTAGCTAGAGAAATAAGTGCTGCCTATTTTCACATTTAGCACCCAGGCCAACAGGGAATTTTTCTTCTCCCTACTCCACCTTCAAATATCTGAGCTGATCTCCCAGCACTAGGATTGTCAAATGTACTTGCCTACCCCACAGTGGAAAATGAGAGTAGTAGATTGCATAAACAGTTGTACTTGGGAGTCAGGGTTGGGAACGCTTTCATGTTTTTTAAATGGTTTGCTGCTTTGCCTCATTAAAGCCAAGCTCCCTTCAGATGTGCCCTATTTATGCAAACAACGTAAAAGAAAAAAATGTGGCTCGGGCCTCTCATGGTTTTGCCATTGGATTAGAGGATCTGGAGAACTCTTACAAGGTGGCGCATGTTTCCCCAGAGATCCTTTTCCAAGCCAAGAGTTCTGCTAGCCACAGGGTAGTCAGCTGAATGCTTTGGAAACTGTCCTGCTGGTTTCTAGGTTTCCAATGGGAAAATCCCTGCAAGGAAAATTGATTTGGGGGTCACTGACCTCAATGCCATGCATACTCCCTTAATTCCTGTGCCATAAAAGACTTAGACTTTGTCCTTAGTTGTTCAGCCAAGCTGTATATTGTCCCTGCTGGGCCCTGTCTGATTTCCTGGGCTACCATGGTCTATTCGGCCCAATAATTTGGCCAAGTCACAGCTAAGCTGTGGGGGGTGGGGGGGAGCATTGGACCGCCTCCTACTTGTGATGAAAAATGCTGTGTTGCTCTCCAAACTTGAACAATCTGAGACTGTAAACAGTGATTGAATTAATGGCCATTGATGGGTCCCGGATCACTGATGTTACCAGGTCCAAATGCCCCATCACTGGCTCCACCACTAACCCGTCTTTATTTGGGCACTGAGAATAACAGCCTCATACTTAAATGGTAACTTCATGTCTGGGCTAAGATAAACAATGGGCTTCTATTCCTGAGAAGGAACACCAGAGAAATGAAGAAGGTGAAACCAATGAAGAGGAGGAGTGAGGGGATTGTGGGGAAAGGGTGAGATTTGGAGGAAAAGGATCTGGGGTGGACCCTAGAGTTAGGTCATGCCTGGCATTGAAGGAAAGGGTTTGTAACTGAGAGGAGGGCCAAGGAAAGCTCACTGGTGAGGGTGAGTTAGGCAAAAACAGACCAGAAAGAAAATAATCATGGAAGGTTATGAGGGGGACTCATTTGGTGGGAGACACTAGAATAAAGTAAAACCCAGGCTCAAATCCCGCTTCTTACTTGCTGTGGGCAAGTCATTAACCAGCTTCAGTTATATTAACTGTGAAATGAACACAATGCTACCTTTAGTATTTATCACCAACCAGTGTTTAGCTTATAGGGTTATTCATGAGTTCATAGATTTGAAGGTGAAAGGGGCCTTGGAGATTATCTCATATAGACCAACACTCTCTTTTTATAGATAAAGAGACTGAGACCTAGAGATGTTGTCAAGACTCAAATGAGATAATATATGTATAGTGATTTGCAAAATCTAAAATACCACATAGATGTCTACAATAATAAGGCTGAAAATAGCAATAATCGATGTTGATGGAGGTAGCATGGGCTACTGGAAAATGCAAAGGATTTGGCATCACTTCCTTTCTCTGGTCCTCAATTTCTTCATCTGTAAAATTAAGGAACTGGAAACAGTGACCCCTAATGTCCCTTCAGCTCTCAAGCTGTGGCCTCTGATGGATGCTGTGGATGTGTATAGGATGGGAAGCAGATGGAGGCCATCTTGCACCAGACATTCCAGTCCAGCGGCTTCCTTCCATTGTCTCCTGGGATTGTTGAAGAGTTGCTTTCAGGGCTTGTAAATCCAAAGGACTCCACTTTTAAGTCAGTCCCTAGAAAGGACTTTCTTGGTTAAATCATCTTCAAAAGTCTTCTTCAAAGGCTCCTTGTAAACAATGACTAAAACTCAATTATGGTGTAATATTAGTTGATTAAGACAAGACTTCAATTTCAGTAATTTCCATCAGCTGGACATAGACAGTGGTTAAAAACAATAACCCATGACTAAGTGGATACTGGATGATGGGAGGCATCCTAATTGGATGTGGCACAAATAACAACAAAAAATTGCGAGGAAAATTTCGGTTGCTTTTTTTTTTTCAAGACCGCAGATAAAAGGAGGGGGGAATGGGAGAAGGCATCCTTCAAACAGGGAGTTGGCAATGCAACCTTCCTTTCGAGAAAGGCACTGCTGTCTTCCAATGATTTTGTGGCTAGATGGCCATTTAGCTCACACAGCATTTGGGCCAGAGTCAACTCTCCTCTCTTCATGACCTACCTCAATCCCTGAATCAAGGCCAAGTTCATTATTTAGACTCAGATGGCATTTCTGATGTTTGAGAGGGAGGCAAGCCAGCAAGTGGACAAAAAGACATAATCAGGGGATAGAATCAAAAAGTTGGAGAACTGTAAGGAACTTTTATCATCACCCATTCCATCCCCCTCCAATTTCAGGGGAAGAAATTGTGGCTGATAGAAAAGAAGGAGCTTGGCTTAGGCGTCATAACTAGTTTCTGGCAGAACCTGGATTAAAATCTACGGAGAGAGAAGAAATTCTCTAAAATTGAGATACACCCCCACCCAAGTTAAATACCTGTGATGTATTGCAAAGATTATCTTTTATTTATAATTTCAATAGATTTTAATTTTTTGGGTTTTTTTTACAAGTCAGTTATCTTCAAGGAAGAACATCCAAAAACCCACTTCAATGTAGTATTTAGTTTTGTTTTGTTTTTCCAAGAATGTCTTCACTTGTTTTAGAACATTGGAAAGCTTCCCATCGCTTGGCGTCACATTCCCTTACCCTCACATCACAATTAGAGAGGGCAAACAAACCTTTGTTGGCACAGGCCATCCATTTGAGGTTGTCAGCAAATGCGGCTTCTCTTCCTATCAGATATGTGAAGATGCGGACCTGAAAGCAGAAAGAATAGATTAACATTCCCTTGGGGCTTCATGTCATATGCAGGTCTCAGCCCAGCCCCGGGTGGTTCAGCTCCCTATTAATGTCTTCATGCTTCACATCTGTAGGGACATATTTAAGAGATCTGGAAAGGGGGCTGGTTGGTAACGAAGAGCGAATGGGCCCCTTTGTTCTTCTGGAGCCATATGGCTATGGTTGTCATTGGAAGGAGGGGAGGTACCAATGCCCTGACTCCAGCCGGAGGAGATGCCAAATCATTTCTCTCCTGTGAAAGTCTAGCCATTTCAATGAGCAGTTATTAAGGGCCAGCTTTGGGCCAGGCCTTCTGCAATGTGCCAGGGATCAAAACTCCAGGAAGACTAGACAGGCCCAGTTGGAAATGGAGATGTGTGACTATTTTTATCTCCAGGGCCACTTCCAGTGGGAAGCCTTGTCTGATTATCTCTCTCTTCCCATTACTATTTTTAAAATTAATTTAACTGTGCAAATACCATATCTCTGCCAGCAAGGACTGTTTCTTTTGCTTCTCTTTAAATTTTGTGTACAATAAGGAGCTAATAACTAGTTATTCACTTCTACTGAGTTAAATTTGCTATGGATTTGCTTCTTTCTGTTATACAGACTTGTAGAGCTGATGCATAGTTTATTGAATTGAACTGAGCTGAATTTGTTCTGGATTTGTTTCTTTTTTTATTTTTTTTTTACTTCATATTCTCGTACATGGTTGATGCTTAATAAATTCTTATTAAATTGGATTGAGTGAAATTTGCTGTGGATTTGTTACTTTCTATCATTATATTCTTGCACATGGTTGTTAACTAACAAATTCTTTTGAATTGAGTTGAATTTGTAATGGATTCGAGAGGTTGTTAGATCTCTCTGGTCCAAAGAGCCTTTATGACCACTTGCTTCATTAAGACTGTGGTCACAAGCTTTGATACAGAAGCATGCTAAATACCTGGAGTTTTTGCTTCTGTGAAAGATGGCCTAAGTTGAATACACCCTTCCAGCTTTCCCCTTGTACATAGACCGTAATCACTTGTGAAGCAGCTCACTTGGGTGAGACATGGCAGCCATTTGGGGACAATTGAATCCAGTTCTTTTTCCATCATTTTGGAATCCCTAGCTCCCTTGAAGACACAACTCAGCTGACATCTGCAGATGAGCCCTTTCTGTTGCTGTCCGGGTAGTAACACATCCAGACTCCTGAAATTCCCTTGTGTTCCTTTGTAATATAGTGATATTATTTGGTAATTCCTATTTACAAATCTGTGAATGCTTATTACATTACTTGTAAATACTTACTTGTGTACAACATATTCTCTGCTTCCCACTCCATGTCCCGTGTAAGCTCCCTGAACAAGGGATGGTTTTACATCTTTACATCCCTAAATCCTGGGGTAAAAGACCCAACATATACTAGGCACCTAGCGAATATTGAATTGAATTGAATTGTTTCAAGGAACAAAATTTTTTGAACAATCTGGTGCTTCTTAAAAGGTTCATGAGAGACTATACAAGCTCTAAGTTCTCCTGTTGTTAATTGTTTCCAAAATCCCTGGAAAGACTTTCTCGTAAATCAAGCCTTCTATGAAACAAATCCTGGCACCCCCTAATCCAGGGGGTGGGGTGGGGGTGCAGACCTCTGTGATCTGGAAATGGGTGCCTTGAAGGCTTCTTCAGCCTTTCCTTTAGACTCTCTGTCAAACCTACTTCCTGCAACTATTATCAGGACCAATTAAACCTAATTTAAACAGTCACTTATCTGATTATGAATGTGAAATGATTGAGATGTATAAAAAATGTGTACCACAGCAGCTCTTTTAATGAGAAACATAAAACAATTAAGTGCTGGTTTCAATCACCTAGAAATCTATATTTCAAGTTGAAATTATCAGGGGCATAAGCTAATTCCAATGATTTAAAAACTGCATGTCCACACACACTTTGACAGGCTGCTGCTGTCCAATTATGTGTCCAATTATGGATATCAACTGTTCCTGGGTGTATGTTTTTTCAAAATGCATCAACAGAATGGACATTAATGGATATAAAGCCTCTACCAGCAAGACTCAGGAGGCAGTATGAACCTTCCATTTTCTCCCCAGTAGAATATAAGCCTCTTCTGGTCAGGGGTCTAGTTTGCTTCTATCTTTGTATTCTCAGCACTGACTACCTCGCATATAGAACATACTTCATAATGTTTGTTGATTGATTAACTGATTGACCAGTTTCCCCAGTGTTGAATCAGCACCATGCAATGAACAAGGTAGGTGTATATTAATTGCTAGCTTATTGGAGTGGATTCAGGAGCAGCATGCTATATCTCCCTCAGAGCCCTAGGAAAGTCACTTCTCAGGGTTACTCCAATCATCCAAGGAACTGCTTTCTCTAGAGAACTACAGCCTTCTTACTTAGCTGAGGCCCACTATATTCCTTAAACTCTCAACAGTTGAGAAGTGAAATTGTCCAAAAATGGTATGGCCCAAGAAGGCATCTACTTCAAAAGGAACTGTCCTGGAAGGGAAAACCACTGATCTTTTCCCTGGGAAATAGGGACAAGGTTAGCTCAATAGTCAATAGTCCAAGGACCTAGGTTCAAAACCTTCCTCAGTCACCATCTACCTATGTGATCTTAGCAGATTTACTGAGTCTCTCTGGGGCTCATTTGCCTCACCCATAAAATGAGTGGGGCTCAATTCTGTAGCCTCTGAGGTTTCTTCCAGCTCTCAATCTATTATTCTATGATGGATTCAGAAGCAGGGAAAGATGTAGGCTTAATTTTTTCTTATGATCCTCCACAATGAAACAGAAACCCTTGTCACCCCATGAACAAATAAATTCCAGGAGATGAGAATGCTACATGTTGAAAGACTAGGTACATATCTGATCAGGATTTTCCAACCTCTAGGACACTCATCTATCCATCTGACTCTCTAGGAATGAATCCCAGTATTGTAGAATTTGGGAAGTAAAAAGAGCCTTAGTGATCACCGCATGCAACTCCCTCATTGTTCAAATGAGGAAAGTGAGGCATAGAGAGATGGAGAGACTTACCCAGAATCAAACAGAGAATAAATGGTACAGGAGGGAGATTTGAACTCAGGACTTTTGCCTCAATCCAGGAAACTCTCCATCATATTATAGATACTCTCATCTATAGAGATTTATCTCATCTCTGTTTTTTAGAAGCCCTGGCTCTGATAGAAGCTGAACTCCAATGGCACTTCCCTGCCTCATTAGCATTCGTTTACCTCCCTTCAAATGGCTATATATCTACTTTTTATATCTTTGCATTTACTTTGCTGTGCATACATTTTCCTACAGGAGAATGAACACTTCAGGACAGAGACCATTTTATTTTTCTTTTTAAATATGTTTCCATACAGCCTAGCAGGGAACCTCAAACAATGCAGGGGCTTAGTAAATGCTTGCTGAATTGCACTGAGGTTTGTGTCTTTGAATAAGATCCTAAGAGCAATCATAGACTGAGAGATAGAAGGGAAGAAACTCAATCTATCTAGAGCCATATTAAAGAAAATGTTATAAATTAGAGAAATGTAAATCAGCAATTCTGTGGTTCTACCTCACATATATCAGATTGGAAAGATGAAAAAAAAAAAAAGAAAATTACTAATGTTGTAAAGACTGAGGGAAAACAGGCACATTAAATATTCTATTGGTGTAACTGAGAGTGCGTCCAAAGATTCTGGAAATCAATTGGGGGCTTTGCCCATAAAGTTACTAAACAGTACATGCCCTTTGACCCCACTATTCCACTGGCATACATTCCCTAAAAATATTAAAGAATGATGGAAAGGTCCGAGCTGTACAACAATTATTTATAAGAGCTTTTTTTGTGTGGTAGCAACCCCCCCATCCCCATACTACCCCCCCCACAAAAAAAAAAACCATCCTGAAAAGTAAGGAGGTGCTAAAAGTTGGGAAATAATTAAATGAATTGTGGTACATGAGCATATTAGGACACTATGATGCTCTAAGAAATGGTGAAAGGAACAGCTTCAGAGAAACCTGGAAAGATTGGTGTGAACTGAGGCAGAGTGAAGTGAGCAGAGCCAGTCGAACAATGTATTCCTTAATATCAATGTTGTAAAAGCAAGCACTTCTGAAATAGTTAAGAATCAGGCAACTCAGTTACCAACCAGAATTCCAGAGATTGGATAAAAGACTGTGCCCTGCCAGTCTCAGGCCATGAGAGAGAAGAAATGAGAGACTGAGAGGCCGGGTCTGGAAGGCATCGATGGGCATGGTAGCTAACATGGGGACTGGCTTTGCTTGAGGGTGCCCAGGTCCTCCAGAGGTTCTGAATTTTCCCACTAGGTGGCATGGGGTGAGAGGGAAAGAATGAATGCTAGATATTTATTGGAGTAGGATTTGAGGATATGAGAGGGGAAAGGAAAGGAAATGGGAGAAGGGGAAGAAGAGAAAAAAGAGGAAGAAGAGGAGGAAGAGAGGAGAAGGAACAGGAAAAAGGAAGGGAGGAAGGAATGGAGGGAGGGAGGGAGGGAGGGAAGGAGGAAGGAAGAAAGGAACAAAGGAAGGAAGGAAGGAGGAAGGGAGGAAGGGAGGGGAGGAAGCAAAAAGGTTCAGAGCAGAAGATAATGTTAGAGGATTCCAGATGGAAGAGAACTAGAAGGATCTCAAAGGCCATCCAGTACATTTTATAGAGAAGGAAATTGAGATTGGAGGAGTTTAGTGACTTGCTTGGAGGCTTGCAAGCTCTCACATTCTTCTCATTTACAATTCTTCCAATCCAGTCACTTTCTTTTTGCTGCCTTCTTAGAGGCTGTGAGATGAGGCAGTACCTCCCTCCCAGGATTGTTTGTGAAGATAAAATTAGATCGTTACTATGAAGCACTTTGAAAACTTTAACGCACTACGTAAATGTTTGCTAGTATTACTTAATTATCAGTATCACTATTGGCTTTTGGCTGCAGACTCTGGTTTTCCTGAGAATGAAACAGGAGACA